GCCGACTCGTCACCGGAAGACGAGGTGTTGATCCGTAATCCGCTCCGGTTTTGTCTCTGGTACGGCCACACGGTATCGTCCAAAAAAAACAGGGGGCACCGTCCGGGGGGACAGGGTATGTGTGTGTGTGTGCACTCATGAAAGCGCATGTCGTAGCAGTCGTAGTCGTTAGACCATAGACCTAGCATCCCTACAACGCCTGCTTGTGCTCATTTGTGACGAGCACCGATAGCTGCTCCTCACGAGACGCCAATTGCTGTGTGTGTGTATGCGTGTCTGCACGGTAGTAAGTACGTTGTCGAACGCAGCCATTATCTTAAAGAAAAAAAACAAAAACAAAAAAAAATCGCTCTGTGAATGTACGAAAAAACGCTCCATCTTCCCAACGAGAAGAAAACGAAACACACAGATTCGCCGTCTCCCGTGTCTGTCTGTTTCACACCACCCTTGCATGTCTCCTCTGTCCCTACTCTTTTCGTCATCTACACAATACTTCTATCTTGACATCTATCTCTCTCTCACAGCTGCTTGTCGGCGCTGAGGGTGGACAAGGAGGGGTCCAGGAGGTGGGCTGTGAAGAGACCTTGCCTCAGACGCGCTCCCGCTTCGGGGCTGCCGACAAGAACGAGGGCAACAAGATGAAACACACGGCACGCCGAAAAGCACCTGGATTAACAGCACGGCGTCAGAGACTCCCCGCCAATACCACCCAGTGCGGATCATCAACAAGCACAGTCCAGCACAAACTCCACGGGCCTAAGCTCTACGGTAGTTTTGACGAGCACGGCGGCCGGAGAAAGGGTCGCAGCGTGTGCCGATGCACAGCCCAAATACCAAGACTCTTTACCACAAGTGCAATGACGAAGCACAAAATGTTTAACCTCGACGACTACACCGCCGTCGCGCAGCCGCGGCTTACCGTAGGTGACGTAAGACACCATACCCCCTGGACTGACATTCATAGCTCGAGGAGTAAGCGCACTACAATTCTCGCGAGTGCAGCAGTTGGATTCGAGGCAGAAGGGGCAGCGAATCCCCCCCCC